TGCATATCTCATAACACAAAAATAAGGGTATTTTGGGAAATCACCGTTCGGGCTCTGGCTGATTGTACACACTGCTCCTTCTTGCTTTCTCTTTGAACTTTTATTCATTTTTAAAAAATTATTTCCTTAAAACTTTTCTTACTTCCTCAGTTTGAGTCCAGATTTACCCGAAGGCGCATCCGAATCCCTCAAACCAAGGCTCTGATACCAACTTGTAACACCGTAAATTTCAAGACAAAATTTTCATTTAAAATAATCATTTTATTCTTAGAAACACTTGTTTAAAATCTCATTCATAGTCGATTTACAAAACATGACTCCATTTTCACTTGCATAGAAAACCAGGATCCTCCAAAATATGACTCTTTCTCTGGTGTGTACAATCAAGCCGGTGCCGTCCCGTGATACTGAAAGAAACCTGAAAAACATCACACAAAACACTGTAAGCACGAAGCTTAGTGAGTTCCCCAAAATACCACACATAACACATATTAGCCACTCGAGGCTATAACTCTATGGGTCCGTGCACCCAAACTCTGTGAACCCTCAGGTTCTAACTCTGGGAACCTTCCGGTTCCAACTCTATAAACATGCACAGCATAAATCACATAGAAATAATGCAGTACAACACATCACGTACATATAGCATACAAATACTCTGATCACATAACTCTGGTTACCTACTCAAGGTAAAGTATAGTGAGAAGACTCACCTGGCAAGCAGAAAGCAGATATCCCCACACTTGAATCTCGAACTCGCCACCGCCTAACACGTAAGGCAAATACTCTCATGAATATAACTCTCGAGACTAGAATAAATCCTCTCATAACACCCTCTTATGGGTAAAAGACTATTTTACCTTTCTCTTGGCCCAAAGGCCACATCGCTGACCAAACCCTAAAAGTCAACGGCCAACCCTTGGTCGAAATCAAAGTCCTCAGTCTAAGTCAACCCCTGACTGACCCTACTCGCCGAGTCAACCCTGTGACTCGTCGAGTTCCCATAATCAGAACTTCACTCAATCTGCGACCTAACTCGCCGAGTCACCCCGAGACTCGCCGAGTCCAACAACTCTGAGTCCACTCGCACACGACTCACCGAGTCATCCCTCGACTCACCGATTCTCGACTCAACCAGAGAATATTTGGGACTCTTCGACAAGACTCGCCGAGTCCAAATGGACTCGTCGAGTCCAAGGCTATCTTCAACCTACTCGCCGAGTTGTTCTTCCAACTCGTCGAGTTCCAGGCCATCTTCAAGCAACTCGTCGAGTCGACCCATGTGACTCGCCGAGTACCACCGTTCTGAATCCATTCAGAAGCACTCCAGGCCATGCAATTGATCCAAAACATAGATCTAGCCTCCTACAACCCATCCATCACGTAAAGTGGCAAACTTTACGTGAATCCAAAGAGATCTAAGCCGTTTGCACATTGGGGCTAGGGTTTGGGACATGTAAGCTTCACTAAACACTCCAACACAGGGACTTTCATGCTTTTCTGATTCTTCTCCCTTCCAGATCTGAGGTAGCAACCTCAGATCTAACCTCTAGACTTCCCATTTCATCCATAGACAATTTCTCACAAACCCCAAAATGAAGAAACAACATAACAACAGGTCAATAACGAGATATTACCTCTAAGTGATGCCCCAACTGCAATGAAATTCGAATCCAAGCAAATCCCCTTGCTCCAAGCCTTCAATCTTCCCAAAATTCCTTCAACCATTACTTCTCCAAGCTCCAATCCACTCAACAATGGTGTTTCTCCGTAATTTAGGGTTTTCTGGGGCTCAAGGGGTGATAAAGAGGCTGGGAGGAAAACATAGTGATCTTTATATAAGGCTCAACCCCGAGAATTAGGGTTTTCTCCACTCAGCGCCTACTCGCCGAGTCGGCCACTTAACATGCGACCAGGTCGCGACTCTACTCGCCGAGTCCGTACATGGACTCGCCGAGTCACTCTTTCCCAATTTACTCTTTTAGCCCTTCAACTCTACTCTTGATATTTCGGGATGTTACATAAGAAGATTGGACCAGTGGAGATTGTGGAGAAGATTAATTTCAATGCCTAGCATCTACAGTTGCCAAGCCACATTCATTGTTCCGATGTTTTCAATGTAAAGCATTTGCTTCCTTATTATGGGGATTCTTCTGATGATGACCATGGTGCACATTCGAGGTCGAATTTTGTCTACCCAGGAGGGGATGATGCGGGTCCTAGTGTGGAGGATCGGGCCCTTGCGTTCCTAGAGGCCCACGATCGTGTGATTAAAGGGGCTTCACGGAAATGGTCATAACTTTGGCAACAAATCTCTGTTTTGGGCCTACGACAAGTCAAATCGAAGTTTGGAGCAAGGAGCACGTCTAGATAAGTGCCCAAAGGGGACTTACCCATTTTTGAGTCCAGAAATCGCCTTCTAAATGGAGTTATGAACAATTTTGTTATTTTTCCTTAATTTTTAGGTTTTGTTTTTGGGTTTGTATTTGGCCCATGGACTTTTAGGGTTTCATTTTAATTTCTGCTTCTTATTTAACTGTTTTTGATGTAATTTGGATGGTCGATCATCAATTTTATGAACTTTCGATTTTCTCCCAAATTCTGTGTGTGTTAACCCATATTTTGAAGCCAATCCCACGGTATTCGTAGAATCAACGTGGTTTTGAAGAGATTGTCCTGGTTATTCTTTTAGAATCAACAGGTTCATTCTTGGTTATCTTTGTGTTGTTTTTTTTGCGCTACATCACCTTCATCAACACCAAATTCAACCATCACCGTCTGTAACGCCCGTAGATCCGGGCTAGTCAATTTAGAGACGATGGGCGTCAAAAATGGATTTTTGATGAAATATTATTTAGAATGAATAATCTTAACTAAGTTATAGTACATGTTACAAGGTTTCCGTGTATATAAAGAATGCTGAAATCCGAGTTATAACGAAGAAGTTATAACCTGTCGAAGTTTTGCGATAGAACCAGCACGACATACGTAAATAGTGAATTTACGTTAGAGCGATATTTAGCCTTAGAGATCTAAATGAAAGTCGTAGAGTTCGTTAAACCGTGAGCGTGCATAAAAAGAACGTCCAAATCTGACTTCGTATGATGAAGTTATGATTTTTCTAAGTTTCAGCTTAGTAGTATGCAGTCCGAATATTCGATTTGAGATCGAGTGGTTTTTAGCCGAAACAATCTAAACGAGAATAAAAAATCTTGTCAATTGTAGTGATATGATAAAAAGATAGGCAAAAACGGACGTCGGATGAAGAAGTTATGAATTTATAACAGAGTTTTCCTGTCTCGGCCTACTAAAAATAATATAATAAAAATAAAGTCAAAATTAGCCAACGGAGTCTAAATGAAAGTTGTAGAGCATAATCTCACCTACGCGTAGATATAAAGAATGTCAAAAACGGAGCTCGTATGCAAAAGTTATGAATTTTTGAAGATTGTGGCACGCATACCAAAGCTTATCCGAAGATTACGCCAAGCGTACTCTATGTACGCCCAACGTACTCCAAAATTACGTCCAGCGTAATCCCAGACCCTACAGCCTATAAATAGAAATCGAGATCAACCATTTACTCTTTTTCAAACTCTTTCTTCTCCTTAGTTTTTGCCTTGATTTGTGTGCCAATCATATCCCAAAGCCCCGGTATCATTCTCGAGCCCCGAAGCAAGATCCGAAGCCCCGAGGATCCCGAAGAGCGTTATTCCCGAGCTGAAGCTCTGCCCGCAAGGAGCCCGGTTTTGGTGAAGATCCTCAAGATCTACCCAAGAATACTACTTCTACAAGTCGTAGTGTTGTCCGATCATCTTCTAATCAAGTGAGGGTATAGTTACTTTCTTCTAACACATAAGTATGAAGTATTTGCTATGAAATACGCGCTATGTGTTTGTATATTGTTGTTTATTTGAGATGTTGGTGGAATGGATGTTTTATATAGTTTTTAAATGAGTTAAATTGTATATGTATTATATATCTACAAATATGTTGAGTAGAACATGGGTAGATGAGATAGTTGGTGTGTGATAAAAGGATGAGTTGGATAATGAGCTCAAGAGGTTAGTTTTAGATCCGTGAGTAGATTAGATCAAGAGGTTAGTTTTAGATCCATGAGTATGGATTAGATCAAGAGGTTAGTTTTAGATCCGTGAGTACGGATTAGACCAAGAGGTTAGTTTTAGATCCGGGAGTATGGATCAGGTAAAGAGATAAACTTGCTATTAGTCTGGGAGTATGGATTAAGACTAAGTTAATTTTCCCTAGTCCGGGAGTATGGATTGGGCACAATTATAGACCCGGGAGTATGGATCAGACATGGATTAAGACTAAGTTAGTTGTTTCTAGTCCGGGAGTATGGATTGGGTACAATTATTGATCCGTGAGTATGGATCAGTGGAAAAGGTTAGTTTTAGATCCGTGAGTATGGATCAGGTGAAAAGGTTATTTTTAGATCCATGAGTATGGATCAGGTGAAAAGGTTAGTTTTAGATCCGTGAGTAGGGATCAGGTAAAGAGGAAAATTTTAGACACAAGAGTTTAGATCGTGTCGTTGTGAGGGTCGATGGGGTGGGATAAGAGTTGCCTTTATATGGTGAAATTGTACAAGTTTGAATGTTCCATATTTATAAATATATGATATAACATTGTGGGATGAAACCCCTATATGCTCACCAGGCTCCCAAGCCTGACCCACTCAGTTTTCTTTGTATCACAGGTATCAATACGAAGACATATTTAACTGAGAGATTAAAGGAGATGTAAATCATTAGTGTAAATAAATGTAAGTTCTGTTTATGCTTATGTGTATGTATCGGAACATGACATCCCGAGATTTTGTTATATAATGAAAATACTTTTCTTTAAGAAATGCTTTGATAAATTCTTATCATATTTTGTTTTGGGGACAAATTCCGCAACAATTTTCTTTAAACGATTACTCTAATTTTAAAAACAAAGCATAAACAAATCGGTCTTTTCTGGCCGTGAAATTGGGGATGTCACACCAACTCATCTGCTCTAAAGGCCCGGAATCCATCCAAGGCTTGCCGGATTTCCAATTCCAAACCATCCCCAACGGCATGCCTGACTCAGATCGAGACGCCACTCAAGACATACTGATGCTTTGTGACATGACCAGAAAGACATGTTTAGTTCCGTTCAAGGAGTTGTTGCAGAAGTTGAACTCGTCGGCCGGAGCCCCAGCAGTCAGTTGCATCGTCGAAGATGGCGTGATGAGCTTTGCGATAAAAGCTGCTAAGGATGTGGGCATTCCGTAGGTTCCGTTTTGGACTGCTTCGGCATGTGCTTTCATGGGTCTTTTGCATTATCGAGAGTTCATCAAAAGAGGAATTGTTCCTTTTAAAGGTTAGCAAATGTGTATTTGTTTCAAACTTTTCGTCTTTTGATAATCGTATCTAAACTGTGTTACTATGTAGATGACAAGTATCTAACAGATGGAGCATTGGAAAAAACAATCGATTGGATCCTGGGGATGAGCAATATTCGTTATAAAGATGTTCCAAGTTTCATTAGAACAACAGATCCCGATGATATCATGTTGGATTTCATGGGGGAGGAGGCTCAAAATAACTTGAATGCTCCAGCGATCATCTTTAACACTTTCGATGCATTAGAGCACAAAGTATTAGAAGCCATTACATCCAAATTCAATTACCCCAACATTTTCACAATTGGCCCTCTTCCTTTACTAGCCAAATACGTTCCAGATGATAGTTTACTGAATTCGAGTTTATGGAAGCCAGATTCCTCATGTTTGCAATGGCTAGACCAGAAGAAAGAAGGATCTGTTATCAATGTCAATTATGGAAGTGTGACTACGATGACTGACAAACATTTGATCGAGTTTGCATGGGGTTTAGAAAATAACAAGCAATCGTTCTTATGGGTGGTTTGACCAGATGTGACGATGGGGGATGAAGAATTCTTGAAGGAGACGAAGGATAGAGGACTCATGGTGAGTTGGTGCGCACAAGAGCAGGTTCTTGCCCATCCATCGATTGGTGCATTTTTAACACATTATGAGTGGAATTCTACGATTGAGAGCATATCGGAAGGTGTTCCGGTGATCTGTTGGCCTTTCTTCTCAGATCAACAAACAAATTGTCGATACTTTTGCATTGAATGAGGGATTGGGATGGAGGTTAATCATGATGTGAAGAGAAATGAGGTTGAAGTTCTTGTTAAGAAGATGCTTCAGGGGGAGAAAGGAAAGGAGATGAGAATAAAGGTGAAGGAGTGGAAAAGGAAAGCAAAAGAAGCGACTGAAACTAGTGGTTCATCGTATAATAACTTCCAACGGTTTATCACTGATGTCATGCTTTCAGGAGAATTTCCTTATGTTTAATTAACAAAATGTGTAACAAATTCGGCAGGCTTGATTTTAAATCTTGTGCTTGTCGAAGAAAATCACTTTTGCTTGTGAATTTTTTTTTATTGTATTGTTTTCGATGTGTAAAAGAAACCACACTAGCATAATTCTTATTTTAAGTGTGCTTCAATCGTACCTTTTGTAATTACTTTTATTTTTTGTAAAAATCATCTTCTAACCATTTTGTGTTAACACTCGCAACACTTTTTATCCGACAACAATTTGTTTTTTTGTAGACTTCGGAGTTCAAATCCTCTACGCGTGTTCTGTTTGGGGCATCACTTAGGCTGTGTTTGGCACGCTACAGTTAGCTGATAAGCTAGCTTATTTTTCGAGCTTTTTTATGTTGTCGTGTTTGATTAATTATAGAAACACATATTCTTACATGTTTTTTTATGTAATTTTATATATTTCAGCTAGCTTTTCAGCTAGTTTTACCAAACATAATTTTTTATCAGCTAGCTTTTCAGCTATCAGCTAACTTTTTATTTACCAGCTAGCTTTTCAGCTAGTCCGCCAAACATAGCCTTAATATCTCTCTTCTAACATCTTCCAACCTAAACCCAAAAAACAAAGTTGAATACAACCAATAAAAAAAAAGGCGCTACATACTATTCTTCCTACATCTCGTTATCGATCGCAAGAAGCAACCTCCTTACCGTCGCACCTCCCACCGACGTTCACTCCTCCCGGCGCAACTCCTAGCGGTCGCCCTCTCCTTCTGGCATCGGCGGTTTTTGGAGTTCGGTAAGTGTTTTTTTTCTTTTTTTTTTGTTGGAGGCAACGATTCTACTTTGGTTTATATTGAGTTTTTCGATTTTTTTTTGTTGGAAAACTTCATCTTTCATGCTTCGTCTTAATTTTTCGATTTTTGGTTGTTGATATCTTTGTTCTTGCTTAATCTTTATGCTAATGTTATCAAATCTTTGATGGTGTTGTTTTTATCTTGATTAATGATAAGTTCTTGCAGCAATGTCTTAAATTTATGCTTAAACGTCACATATTCTGCTGAAATGTCATTAATGGATGTTGAAATGTCATAAAGTATTGTTGAATTGTCATGAATTATTGCTGAAATGTCATGAAATGTTGTTGAAATGTACCAACTTCATTTAATCTGAATATTTCGGGATATAATAGGAGGCTACGACGGGTCTTCGAAAAAACCAAACAACACCTAAGTCTTAACAATGCTATACTTGTATTCTTTTAAAGTGTCAACAACCACCGTTTTTAGAGTAAGTTATAAAAATGGTCCTCGTGGTTAAAATTTTAGTTAAATTAAGTCCATTTGTTTTTCAACTAAAACCTTAATGTCCGAAAAAAAAATTGGTCATCAATGAGGTCTTGGGGTTGAAGTTGTTAATCTTTAACCATTAAAACAACGGATGGAGGCAAAACCTCATAAACTCTATCTTTCGAGTTTAAATAGTCATTAAACTAAATTTTGTATCTTTTAAACCATAAGACCATCTTTAGCGCACGTCAAATACTATTTTCCTTTATTTTTTACTTCATTTATTTCAAACCTTATCCTATTTATTTCAGTACTTTTAGAGAAATGAATAGTAATACCCAAAATATTGATCAGTAACATTATTCATTTCTCCAAAAATATGATTGAAGTTTTGGTTGATGATTTTAATCTTTTTTATACATTTGTAGTTTATTTTTATCTACCGGTTATACTTAAAAATATAATATTTAATAGTTTTAATATCCTGTTATATATTAAATGATATTAATTAATCATAAGTGTAAAGTTTAATATTTATGTATCTAATTCATATAAAAATCAAATACATAACAAAATTTAAAAACACGGTAACATGTTTTATAAAGTGTTTATAATTTAAATATATTTACAAAATACGTAACATATATTATTATAATGAAAAAAGATAATATATATATATATATATATATATATATATATATATATATATATATATATATATATTAAAAACTAATTAATAGAAAATGTGTTTGACAATTTATATAAGTTACAAGAATGGAATATATTATAAATATATATTTTGGAGTTAAAAATATGATAAAAATAAATTAGAGTTAGAGATGAAACACTATTTATCATATTTTTAAATTTATTCTTAGGCAAAATAAAGATGGGTTGGAGATGGTCTAAAGTAACAAAAGTCATGCAATTTATGTCATTTTGGAATAAATGCATGGTCTCTCGGTAACCAAGTTGATGTGGATGCTGACCAAAGAAATTATCCATCCTCAATGTCCACATAGTGCTAAGATGGCTTCCACGGTGGATTTTTGATTCAAAATAACACATAATAATAATAATAATCTATATTCCAAATGTCTAACACATAATAATAATCTATATTCCAAATGTCTTGTAGGTTGAAAAAAAATTTACTTTACATTTCTTCAATGCTTTCCACTTTTCTAACAAGTCCATGCTTACTAACCTATTTCACACATAACTCTCGTATCTCTTGTCTACAAACTCCATTCATCTTCCTCAAGGTTTTTCTTTCTCATTGATAACCACCATATCCTACCACCAATCACCATCACTAACCACCATCTCCAACCACCACCAAGCACCATCACTTATCACTACCACCAACCCATACACTCATGAACAAAAAACTGAAACCTGTCATTAAAAATCAAAAATCAAATTAATAAAGCTTCGTAGTTGTGCCAATTTTAACTCAACCCATAAATCAAGAACAAAAATCGATTTCATAAGTATTCATCACCATCAGTCTCTCCCTTATCTCTTTATAGATATGAAAATGATGAATAAAAAAGAAATGAAACCCATATTAAAACACGTACAAATTGGCATACCTTCAAGGACACATACAGATGGTACAACTCTGAAATGTTGTACTTTTTGGAGCCAACTTGCCTATTATTGGCTAGGAGAACATTCCAGATGGTACAACCCTAAAATCTGGTTTTATAGGTTTATATGCAAAAAAGGTCTTGATGAATGCCCCCCTCCACATTAAAGAAACATGAGTCAAACTCATTAACATTTCCAACTACCAATATGGATGGAACTAACATATAAGAGTATTCATCAACCTGAGTAGAGTTTCATCAAACATTTGGGTTTTGGTTAATAACTTACAACTACGAATTTTATAACTACATAACAAAAGTCAAGAATATCAATATATTCTTCATAAGATAAAACATTTGAATAAAATTTGAGGTAAGGAAATGAAAAGGCTCAAACAATAACAACATGTAGTCGATGATGATGATCAATTCACTTTCAACTTCAACTTCAACAACGATCCAACTATCTTGCTTCACGGAACGATTTAAAGGCCATGTTTTGTAGAAATTGCTAATCATTCTATCTGTTGAAGATAATTTTGTTGTGATTTGGCTTAGTTTTGATGTTGATTTGTAGAAATTGATAATGTTGGGCCCCGTTTTGATCGACTATGGTGATGAAGATTATTTGGATTGATTCAATGGCTGGTTTTTTCGCGAATTGGAATTTGATAAAGATGGCCACTATTCTTTCCCTGGTGTGGTAAATAAGTGAGGAAGACACACATATTCCTTGATTCCATTTGTCTTTCACACTAGTCTTGGAATTCGAATCAAGGTTTAATTTTTAGGTTGAATGAAGGGGCCGCAGTGTTGTGGTTGGATGAAGTGGTAGAAATAGAGGGAAAATGAATTACAATCCCAATGAAGTTTCCAAACCATTCAAAAAACCTCAATTATGTTTTGTATGTTCAAGAAAACCCAATGAACTTAACATTTTTGTCTAAAAAAGTCCAACAAAGTTTCCCAACCGTTCAAAAATCCCAAATCATGTTCTTCTGTCTCTTCAAAAGGTTAAGTTCGTTGGGTTCGATTTTTTGAACAATAAATCATGATTGATGTTTTTTTAACGGTTTGGAAACTTCGTTATTCTGACAAGTCATTTTTCTAATATGGTAATAAGCCACACCATCTGTTTCTCTTCTTTGACTTCCATAGAATTGAACAAAAGTGTAACTTAGTTGAGCCTTTTTAGACAAAATGTTAAGTTCGTTGGGTTTTATTGAACATGCAAAACATGATTGGGGTTTTTTTTATCAGCTTGGAAACTTCGTTGGGCTCGTAAGTCATTTTCCATAGAAATATAAGTCGTTGGTAGAAAAGGGGAGGAGGGGATCAATCAACTAAAGAGGGTGAATTGAGAGGTGAGAGTAAAGATACCTATATGGGTGTGTTATTAATAATCTCATATATCTTGTCTATGTAGCATTAATAATCTACATCATACAATTAAGTCTCAATTGATGAGGACCTACAAACCGGATATAATACCATTCATTACCTTTTCCTAGAAGGTATATTATTTTTCATTTTTAATCATTTAGAAGTCACAAAATTTTAGTTCAGGGACCATCATGTGTGGAAAACAAACTAGTTTTAATCCTACTTTTTATTAATGAGTTAAGCACACAAAGGCAGTGAACCTGTCTTTTAGTGGTATAGTTGGATAAGTAGGGTATCGAACTCAGGGAACGGAAATTGATCTAATAACTAATTTTAACTAAGCAAATAATAAAATTAAAAGGGGTTTTCTCTAGTTTTACAAGACTAGAAACTTAAGCAAAGCAAATAAAACACTTAACTAACTAACGATTAAAACAAATGACAATTTCACCAAATTTATTAAAGGGTTTCTGTTTAGGTTCAACTAATTCACTCCTATGGTTATTTTCAAGATAAATTAATTATTAGTGGTTACCAACTATAGT